CTGCGTATCAGGGTCATAAAAATCGGTTCACGTTGCTCTTTGGCATAATTGACCGCCAATTTGGGCGGCCGAAGTAGGACCTGACTTGAAAAAATTCGGGTTCGAAAAGTGCATCTATAAAATCCGTGTTAAGTTGATTGGCCGATTTAATAGCCTCGAATTGGGAATGGTTTTTTTTATGGCTAGATATGCCAACCACAAGCTCTGCCATAAATCATTTCAGAAGCTCCCCTCAGGTATGCTTCTGGTTTATTAAAATAATTAAACCAAATACCATGTAGTTAAGCCAAATGCCAGCTAATCAAATCAACCTATTTTCGGTTTGCACTTCAAGCGGGCGTGTGAAATTCCCTGGCCAGCAATTAAGTTCTGAAAAATTCGTGACAAACACTTAATTTGCATAAAAATTACTATTTTTGTAGACCCGCGGCTATAAATATTAATTTTCTGGCACAAAACAATAAACACAAAATGCCGCACCAGAAATGATTTAAATTCTCTCCCACACACACATGGAGGATAACAGAAAAAGGACACTGTATATTGAATTAAATGCGAAAGCTGACAAAAAAATACATAAAACAAATAGTTTCGGCCACCCACGGCGCAGACGGCAATTAAGGCAGGACCCACAAGAGCCAAAAATGAAATTGCAAAAAAAAAATGGGAACGATCCCTGTGCAGTGCTGACCGCAAAAATTGTTGCTTTCGGCCATGCCCGTTAATTTGGCTGGCAAATGGCAAATGTCAAATGGCCACCAACCGACGAACGGTCGTCGTTAGCACCCACGCTATATGGCTATATCCTGGACGATGGCTATGTCCGGCAGTGTCCTGCTTTTGGCATGAAATTTTAATATCGCCTTTAAATTTAAGTAGCCCCTGTTGCGGGGGGCTTTTGGTTTTGGCAGCCTTTCAATTGGGTCTTTCTCTCCTACTCCTCCTGGCTGTCTCTCTTATTTATCCTTATTTTGATATCCTTGGGAAATGTGTGCGCTCGTGGGAGGCCAAATGTCGCGTCGATAAATTGGACTGTGGACTCGCCTTTGGCGCGGGCTCGTATTTATTTATTTATTTTGAGGCCATTGCTTAGATTTTATTATGTTTGCCGACCAAAGACCACCTTCCCCAGGTGGGGGATAGGTAACCCAAAGCTTGGACATGGGGTTCAAGTTTTTTTTGGAACGATTTCTATTTGCATATAGAAAACATATTTCAATCAGGCTAGGCCAACAACAGGCGGCATGTGCAAATATTTGTTTCTCAACTTTTGTTTCCTTTGTTTTCTTAATGATGACCCAAATAGAAAAGAAAACTTTTTGTTGAGCCAATCAAAAGTTGCTTTATTGCAAGAGACACAGAAAGAAATTCTTAAAATTATTATTAAATATTATATATTTTTCTCTGTGCATCTTGGCGAGTAAATTGTGTCAAGCGGGCTTTAAAAAATGCATTGCCTACTTTTCTGGAGCGCCTCGTTTGTCCTGCTTGTTTGCCAAGCAATTTAGTCGTAAGATGAAACAGTTCTTATTTTTAAGTTTACTAGTACTTTCTTTTTTTTGTTATTTTGGCATAATTTTAGACACTCACAGCAACAACAAAGGCAACAAGGACATGCATACATACACAGAAAATCACAGAAAAGTCGCAGAGAGCAAGTGCAAATAGTGTAAATGCCCTTGAAAGCCCCCAACAACATTGGCCCTGGTGCTTGCACTGAAAAAAAAGCAACAACCAAAGGAGGGCATTTACAGGTGAAGGTGAATAGTAATTACTCCAGCCCATCATGGCTTACTTTATTTTTCGAACCAATTCCCATCGATTTTGGGCCACAAACGAGGCCAAAACTGTTATATGCCTGGCAGCGGAAAATTGAATAAATTAATTCATTGAAAATTATAGAGATTTAACGCTGATTGTTGGGAAAATCAGGGGGAAGAGCCTCCCACGGCACACGTTTTCTGAATGCACAATTATTAAATAGGCTGACAAAAGGACAACATGATGGGGAGGTCCTGGATGGTGGGTGGTAGGCTGTAGGCGGTAGGACATGGCGTCGTTTTTACTCGTTTTTGGCCACATCACATGTGCACATTTCGCTCTCGTCTACGCTCTCACTCTCTGCCTCTGCTCCCTCTCTGTGGTATCGATCCGCAAAACGAGCAAAAGTCAACTGGAAACTGGAAAGCAACCAACCACCAAAAAGGAACACATCCTGCCGCGGTACCTACACCACCCGACACCACCTCGTCCTCGTCGTCTTCTCACTCGCTGACATTGGTGACAGTTTTTCGCACAGAAGAAAAAAGCTGGTCAAAAAACTGAATGTACAAAGGAGGGAGGGCAGGAGAAGGAGGCTAAAAGGACAACAGCCAGCTCGAATGACTCAACATTTTGTGGTTATGCAGCCAAAGCCACGTGCAAATTATTTTCATAGGAAAACTCAGACCAGAAGAGAGTAAAGACAACACGAAGCTGGGGCCAACTTGTCAATGTCAATTGATAGTGAAAGGAGGTGGTGGGGTGAGGGTCCTGGGGGCGTAGTAGAGTAGGCGTGACACATCACGGACATCAACGACACCAGCTGCCAACAGCTGGCTAAAAAAAACGTGACCGCCCCGTTTGACATCCTGGCCCATAGCCCATAGCCCGAGAGCAATTCACACAATTAAATATTAATGCGCGAAATTAAGTGAAAAATAGCTCCAGGAGTGGGGGGACAAGGGCATTAGTTGACTTTGCCATGTTACAAAGGATTGGCCAACAACTTGTGGCATTAGAATGGGCTTAACTTGTCCAAAAAAGCCCCCAAAATAATTGGATTTTATTTTCATTTGTCTAAGCCAGGAACTACGGATATCCATGGGTGTAGGATATGGGCCAGGAAGTGATGAAGATGGTGAGTGATGGTGGTAACCTCCAAAAGCTATAACCTCTTGGGGAGAATTTCTATTAAAACCCCATTCAATCTTTAATTTTATTGAATTCTCCAATCTGCAGTCGAAGAGCACGAACCATCCCATCCATCCAAAAGCAATTTATTCAATTTTCCTAGCATTTTCAAATAGAAATGGGTTGCCATAAAACTTGGAGGCAAATAAATCAACTTCGTTTAAAACGAAGACCCAAGATACATATTCGGGAGAAGGAGCCAAATTATCGGGCATTTGGTTTGCAGTTTAAGCAATTATGTTCAGTCACGTGAGCGCGTGTGGAATGCAATCTGAAATATGCAGGAGGAGGAGCTCCAAACCTCCAGAACTATGATGATAAATGTGGCGTGGAAATGGCGGGGGAATAGGGCAAAGAGCTAGGCTAGCGAAATGTTAAAAGGTACAAATTGCAAGGTCACATTGACACGCCATGTCAGGTCAGGTGAAGTCAGGATTTAGAGTCACGGAAGACCACGGAGTAGGAGACTCTAGCTAGAGTTGGGGGAAGCTATGTGAGTGAACTCACCTTTTGCCAGCTTCCTCGCCTTCGAGTCCCTCGGCGCCAGCGGCGGCTGCTGCCTCTGGATCGGCGGCAGCGGCTGCCACCGCTTCCGAGGATGTGGAGGCGGCGGTCTGAGCAGCGGCGGCCGCTTCTCCTGTGGGTGCTGGTACATCTTCATCGCCGGCGCCGCCCTTCACGGCACCCACCAGCGATGTAAATTGATTTGTTAGTCCCGAGAACATATTTGCTGTTTTTTTTTGTGTGTTTTTCTGATGCGCTCCTGGGGGCTCCTCCTCCTGCTGCTGCTGCTGGGGCTGCTACTATTACTGTTGATGCTCCCAAGGATTAGCCTGTACTCCCTGTAATCGGAAAAACGTGCGCACGTTCGGCTCTCTCTGGCTCTAGTGTCTGTACTTGGACTCTCCTGTTCTGCAAAACGCTGCTCTCCCGCTCCGTGCTCCGTGGGCTCCTTGGTTACTTTTATTACACTTTTCGTAATGGGTCTATGGTTTCTTTCAGTGTTTCGCACCACAGAAGTTTCACTTTCAACTCTCGGCTCGTGTTATGTAAATTTTTAACTATATTCGCAATTCGCACGCTGTAAAATGTCCAGATGGAAGGGAAAATAGCATGAGGAGCATTCAGTTAGGCAGTTGGGGCTTTTGGCCAAATGACGACGTTGCACAAGGCAGTGAGGAAAATCAATAAAACAGGCATATAAATCGTCTGAAGCGAGGCGACAAATGTGGCACACAATTTCACGACAGTTTTAGACTGCAATATTCGATCGATTTTCTACACTTTTCGCACTTTTCTTCTTTTTTTTTTTGAATATTTTCCGTAAAGTAACTTGCGTCGTTAGCCAATTACCACTTGAGTTCTGGGGGGTTTTTCTTTTTTTTTTTTCTTCTTGGTCTTTACGAGACAAGGATACTTTGGATTGGATTTCTGCCTACTTCGAAGGTCCTCTGAAAACTGACGGAGCAGCGGAATGTCGATGGCTCAAATAGCGGAGCTCTTTAGGGCTCTCGCGATTTCTCCCTGGAAAGGCCAAAGATTTTCCTTGGTGGGTGGAGGTGGTGGTGGGTTTTCCTTTGTGCGCTGGAAAGTCCGCCCGTTGTTTGCGCATGTGCCAGCTGTTTTGGCGTTCTTATTCAAAGTTAAACAATAATGACACGTCTTGTCCACAAACAACAAAAATGCGCAGCAGTAATGATTTATCTTATTCTTGGCCAGTGCTGCCCATTAAACAGCTGATAAATGGTGCAACCCGATAACAACCACTGAAAAGTTATCGAAACAGCTGTTGGGGTATCACTTTTGATATTTAAACTTTTTTAAAAAGAGCTTAGGTTTTATTCAAAAAATTCCATAAAAATTTTTTTCTGCAATAACTGTTACTTTTTCATTTGAATAAATTCTTTATAAATAACTTTTACAAAAAACAAATTTAAACTCACATACTAGTTTAGTATTACTATGAGAGTTTTAAAGTTTGAATTATTCAAAACAAAAAATATGAATACAATCCCCCTTTAAAGATATTTAGTACAATCAACATTCCGTTCGTAAACCTCTATTTACAATAGATTTTCGTTTTTGTACTTAAAACATAGTATTTAAATCGACTTTTAGCTAACTAGTTCAATGAGAGGCTGTTGTCAGTTTCTCTGTCGCCCCCTGCTCCGCGTCGTCTCCTCTGCTGCTTCCGCTCCAGAAGCTTCTTCTTTAGGTGTTCGCGCCTGCTGGGCTTTAGTTTCGTGGTCGAGCCTTTCCTTGGCCCGGAAGACTTTCGATTGGAGGTAGAAAGAGCCGCCCTTGGAGCGCTCATTGACGTTGAAGAGGTGCTCGTAGTTTTTCGAAATACACTCCACGTTCTTAACATCATCTATGTTTAGGATTTGCTTGGCCTCCTCGAGAGTCATGCCTATGAAGAAGTAGTACAATTATTAGTCTTTGTATTATGCAGGTTATTGTTTACTTACCAGTCCGCAGATTGGACTCGGCACTCTTGTCGCCCTGTTTGCCGCCACCGGCCCTTCGGGCAGCTTCCTGTGAGGCGGCTATTTCTTGCCGAAGCGCCTTGGTGAAAGCCCGTCCCACCGCCTGGGCGCCCAGAACGATGATTTGGGCGATGTACTTGGCCATGTGCCTGCTTTGTATGATTGGGTTATCAAACGTAAAACTTGTGGCACACTATTGTTTTGGTTCCTCGTTGATATGCTTATGAAAATGTGAGCTAAATTACGCAACAGCTAATTTTGGTAAGTGCTACCAAATGAGAGACTGCTGTATCACGAAACTTATGCCTCTATTTCTTGACTTGAGTTTATTGAGCCGACTGAAATGAGTTTTTATTTATATTTCAAAAATTTTAAATCCAAATAACCAATTGCTACAATGTATATAACCTCAATGCGGCACAAACCTGGAGAGTCAGCTGTTCTTCAGCGAGTTGGCAGCGCCGTTATCGATTTTTTCTTATCGATATTTTTTGATAAATATTTGGCTATAATCAAGCGAAATGGAGGTATAACGGTCTAAAATTTAAAAATTTATTTTAAAAATACATAATTATATCTTAAGATTAATGTAAAACAATGACCGCAGTTACATAAAAAAGGATTCCTAACTTGTTAGGCTTTTGTCACGAAGTTTTATTCAAAATTTCAATGAGTAATAAAAAAAAATAGTAAATTTAATTCCGTTCACCGTCATGGGCTCCGAATGGGAAAAAACTTACGATCGGCTAGTCCGCGAAAATGAAAATGACGGGCAGAGGCTGGAGCACCTTGAGCGGCAAGTGCGAAACTTCAAGGCCAAAAGAAAGAGTCTGCAGCAACGGATCGAGCAGGAGAAAAAGGACATGGACGTATGGATGGACATGATGGAGCGTTTGAAGCTTGAGGTGAAGCGCTATAAGGCCAAAAAGCATAATCTTCCTCCCAAGAAAAAAAAACAACTGGATCACATCCTAAAGAGATTGCCTCACGACAATTTTAATGAAAGGGTTCGGCTAATGGAGGTATCGGAGAATCTATTCCCCAAACCATGTAAAGAGCCAAAGAAAATAGCCCCACCCAAAAGTCAAGACCCTTGCGACTTGGAGGTTACATTGCCAAGGAAGTGCGATCCCAGCAAGCAATCCGCTGTGGACCGGCGAATCGCAAAGATCAATAAGGATATGAGGACCCTGAGGAAAATTAATGACAAAACACTGGAAGTCATGGCGGATATTCGGGCACTGAAGACTACCATCAACTACTTGGAACAGGGTCACTGCACCAACATGAAGATAACACCCTTCGTGGACCCCAGAACCGCATTAAAGACAACCACTGAGACGCCGGTAAAGAAGGCCATCATTTCATTGGACCGTTTGCGCAAGACGAAGTACCGGAAGTACCTTACCCGAGAGGTCTTGGACGTACGACCGTCATTCATTCTCGAGAACGTGCCCCAGTTGATGCCCAAGATGTATGACTTTCTGGATCAAAACCATTCCAAGCACGGCAAAAGAAAAAACTAGTCATTTTAATTCTGGTGGGGAAAATAATTTATTAAGCCGAGAATTAGTCTACTTAGGCATAGTCTATTTAAACGTGTTCTATGATACGCTAATCCTGTCCAGCTCTTGTTCCATATTTACAATTTACAATAACAACTAAACTCATTGATCATCACCGGAATGCTTCCCTAAAGGGGATTTCATTCAGTTCCATATTTTCACTTAGATGACCTTTGAACTAAAACTGTAGGGCCTTACAAATAAATGTCCGGTTGGGATGGCTAACATTTGCGTGGCACTTGACAATTACAGGGTGATTCCTTTATTAAACCGGACATGTAAGAATCCCTAACGAATATCATGAATTTGTGGCATTAGTTGCTGCCAACAACAATCTCTGCTCATATGGCCTGCCTCTGTGCTTTGTGGGTTGTCTCGGAACAGAGTCCTTTTAACAGAAGCCCGGATTTGTGTGTTCGATGATGCAACGTTTGCAGTACTTCTTCACCGCCCGGTAGCCCTCGATCGACACCGGGCAGTCCTGGATGTTCAGCTGCTGGAGCCCCCGGCAATAGTAGGCGATGCACTGTACCCCGCGGTCGGTGATCATGTCGCAGCTGCGCAGGCTCAGTTTCTTCAGATTCGGACAGCTCTCGGCCAGAGCACGCAGTCCGGCATCACTCACATCGCACTTGCCAATGTCCAGGGCCCGGAGCCGTGGACAGGACCTGGCCAGGACAGTAATGGAGTCGTCGCTGACGGCCTCGCATCCGCGGGCATTCAGATACCTCAGCTTGTAGCACCTTCTGGCAATGACTTTGAGTCCAGCATCCGAAACTCGCTCGCATTTGGCCACGGAAAGGTATCGCAAAGCTGCTCCCAACTTGGCCAACTCATAAAGGCCAAAATCGGTGATGTTCAGGCAATCCGATACGCTCAGCTCCTTCAGCGAAACGCAAAAACTGGGCACGAATTTCAGACCCGCATCTGAAAGATATAAAATGTTAATAATGGCACGAGATATAATAATAAAATAATGGAATATCCACCTGTAATTTGTATGCAGCGTCGCAGATACAGATACACCAGCTGGGGACAGTTCTTGACCACGATCTTTAGGCCCATGTCATCGATGGCCATGCAGTCGGTGAGGTCCAGGTACTGGAGTAGCAGACGACGCGGGGGTTCTACATGGGGATTTGGACTGATACTGCTAACCTGGCTGCAACCTATGAATGAATAAAATTAGTTTATATTGTTGGTAGCTCGATAGTACTCCGTTGGGCTAGTAGTCTCCTTACCGGTCACATCCAGGTGCTGGAGATTGCTGCACTTGGTGAGGGCCTCGACCAGGGCTTGGTTGGACACCCCCACGCAGGTTTGGAGTTGCAGGTGTGTAAGTTCCGGGCATCGGCGGGTCAGCAATTGGAGGCCCTTGTCCGAGATGCGGCAGCCATCGGCCAGCATCACCCGTTCCACCTCTGGACAGGCTCCATTGCAGCTCTGGCCGCACAATTGCCGGAAGATCATCTTCAGCGTCTTGTCACCGTTGAGGTGCTCGCCCTTCAGGGAAATCACCTTCCAGAGGACAGGTCGCCAAGCCAGGTTCTCGAATCTCCGACAAACTCTCGCCACGTTGCACAGCTCACAGCTGTCCAGCCAGGAGAAGATCCGAATGACGGCCTCGTCTGGCAGGCGGTCGAATAACGGGCCACAGCGAAAGGGACCTTTCCGGTTCCAGGGCGGCGGGCCAATCGCAGTCCCAGCTCCAGTGACACCCACTCCATTGCTAGAGACTCCGCGGCGGGGTGTAGTGGCTGGGGTGCTGCTGGCCATGATGCCTCCTCCACTGGCAGTGGTCGAGGTGGTTATATTGCCCGCTCCGCTGGAGTGGTGACCTGTGGGCGAGGGGGAAACGAGGGTGGCATATCCCTGGTCCAGGCTGGGCGAGAAACGACCCAGGTTGCACAGACCGTCGGACAGGCTCTGACCTTTGCTGTGATGGTGGTCCAGCTGGAAGGCGTTGGCGGAGGAGTTGGTGCTCCGGTTCAACAGGTAGCGATCGGAGCCGCTTGTTTCGCTGGGACTGGAAGTGCGCGGGTGGTGCAAGCGTTCTGGGGGATAAGGGGAAACATTGAGACCTGAGATCATTGATTTCTGAAGGGATGACTCACCTGGCAATCGCTCATTTCCACTGCCGCTGCTGTAATCCTCCAGATAATATCGCTCGTTTTGGTACTGACTCGCCTCCGCGCCCAACGGCAGAGCTCTCAGGGCATTGCCCAAGTACAGCGACTCCATCTTCTTGTCCAGCAGATACTGGGCCCCATTGTTGCTCGTTCCATTGCTGCCCAGCACAGTGGGCACACTGCAGCGACCGTTTTGGCGTCTTCGTCCGGCTCCACTGCCTCCACCTCCGCTTCCACTGCCAGTTCCACCGCCTGCGTTGTTATCACTGGAGTCTTCCGTGTCCGCACTGTTGCCATGCATCCAGCTAGGTCTTTGGGCTCCAAATTGCAGGACATGCTCTAGGGTGAGAAAGTTCCTCGGCTGCGGAATAGGAGCCGCGCTTCTCGTTGCAGGGGCAGGCAGTTCCGGCGACTTCTTCGCATGACGGCCTACGGAGGCGGTGGTGTGAGCTCCGAAGGTAACCTGATCCGGCCGAGAATGCCGTCCACGCAGCTCAAATGTGGCAGCCTTCTGTTGCACCATGTGCAGCACAGCCGCTGCTGTCGAGGATGTCGGCGCTTGGTCACAGTCTGGCGGGTTAGACGCTTCCAAGCTGGGATTTGGAGACTTGCGGGAGGACATCATCTTGTAGGCCTGCGGATCCAAGGGGCTAGAGCTCAGCGGATGCGGGTGGTGGTAGTGATCACGGACGGCATTGCTATTGCGGCCCAGGGAGGCCAGAGGGCACTCCAGATCGCTGCTACGCCGGCTGCTCGTCTTGTGCGACATGGTTGTATCCTTTCGGGATGCTTCTTTCGGCTAGTGCCCTTTAAAATGGCAGGGTAGTCTAAAAGGAATAGTTTGGAGGTTAATAAAATGCTGGTCTTACGATGGTAAAGCTTAGCCAATAAAAACTGTATGTTTGCATATTCCGCCTTAAATCAGTACTAAGATCTGCGAATTTTTTAATTAGCCACCAAATTCTTAGCCAGGGAAAAAAGGCAGAAAGAAAAATATTTATCGATGTCTGGTGTCTGGGTCTTAGCCCAAACGAGTGGAATTCAAATCTGCGATGGCCATGGGAACACGGAATGCCTCTTGGATGTGTGTGGGTAGCGTTTTGTGGGTCTCCATGCCATTCGCAATTATTAGAGGAAAATGCGGTGATGCAGAGTCATAACTGGGAGCCATAAAATGTATATATTTTTTGCCGACCACTCCTCCGAATGTTTACCACAGTTGACCTTTCAAATCCGGCATTCATGCAAAAGCACTCTGGCAATTTGTGGGTGAAATGTTCCCCAGCCAGAGGATTGTTGAAAACTATCAATTGTTGGTTCATAGCAGTGGATTCGATGCAGGAGCGTTTATTTTTATTTTTATAATTAATAAGGGGATCGCCCACACGGTGAAACAAATCATTGGCTTGGTTTTTGGTTTTTTGGTTAAATCTTATATTTTGGCCACACGTATGCTGTCATTTCCATTGAGCCGCGTTCATTCATTGTTGTTGGCCCGGAACCAGTTTTTGGTGCAGGTGGGGAGAGGAGTTGGGGCAGTCGGAGGTGGGGTTTCCACCGCCGAAGAGGCACCAGAAGGCGTGGGCCGTTCTATTGCTGGCTTGTGGCCATCCGCAATTTGGCCCGTTGTTATTGGCCTAACCTTAAGACCTTAAATTAAGCCGAAAGTAACCCAATTCGTCCGGGGAACAAGAGATATGCCAGCCATATCAGAAGCCATAACCGTTCGCCCACCGAAGATTCTGACTGTTTTGGTTCTGTGTGTGGCACGGGGCTGTGGCAGGGGCTTTGCATAATTTACTCAGCCAGCTATCTAAATAGAAAACTATAAATTTATTTCAAATTTCTGTCGGCTCTCGGAGTCTTCAAATCCAGCATTTTTTCATTCGGTTTTCTTGGGTGGGGCCGGACCAGGGTCGAAGCCGACGCGCCGGCACACCTACAGTCTTTTTTGGGGCGGGGTGGCACACTTCGGCGGGACGAGTAAATCACAAGCTGCTCACAAGTGGAGCTACGGATCTACGAAGCTACGACGGAGCTTTATTTTTATTGTAATCAAATTTGAAATTAATTTCGATTTTTGTGTGGCATCTGGCCTCGCCATAAATAAACACAAATAGGCAGCAATAATAACACTGGGCCCTAGCACATTTGGATGGTCGACAGAAATATGTCTTGTCATTTGGCTTATGGCAGCTGATTAATCTTAGCATCTCCGAAGCCGAAATCAAAACCCAGGGCAACAAAAAAAAAGCATCTTAAAACCAAAAACCATAACCAAAGCCGCCTGTCGCCTGTCGCGCCTCATATGGAATGTCGCTCAACTGGTTCGAAAAATGTAAGAAGAGAAAAAAAAATCATCTAAGAAAAAAATCAGAAGAAAGAAAGGAAAATGCTCCAAGCCAGAGATCACTTCACTCTACTCGAGGGGTATTTGGATTTTTTTTCCCAATGCCCTCGCCATAATTCACAATACTCGAACAATAAATAATTAATAAAGCACGCTCGGTGTGTGGACAAAAGTGTCAAATGGTTCATTGGGCAACACAGCATGGAATTTGCATAAATTTACATGCAAATGTAATTCACTTTGTTTGTTTTATTCTTTGGCCAAGTCTTTGGGGCCAGAAGAGGGCTGAAATATCATTAGTAACGCATTAGGCCTTGTAAACAACCCACAGATCTTGTAAAGTTCTTGTATTCCAACACGTCTAGGGTTAGATTACGATTTGGATTAAGCCAGGTTAAGAAGAGCCTTCTAAAAGAGAAAGTTTGTAGATCCCACCGACAATACTTTGTATTTGCCAATAAGAATACATTTTATGCACAAATTCCAATTTGTAAATTAAATACCATGACTTTTATGGCCTCTATTTTTTTAATATACCGGATTACCTTTGTATCTGTCAAGTGGCTCAATCAATTGTCATGTAATTAAACCGCATATTTATTTCACAATTTTATTGAGCAAATAAAAATCGTAGACCATGATATCCAGTGTCTATAAACTGGTCCATGTCCATGTCCGTGGCGGTATCTATCTCGATCTGTGTCGATGTTCCTTCTCTATCGTTACCAGCTTGTTCATATTTCCCCGTCCAAGCCGAGCCAAGCCTCTTCAAGTGAGCTCAACGAGCACATAAAATATGACAACAACAAGTACTAATTATTTAATATGCTTAATGAGCAAATGTCGCCATGCTGGTGCCCACAGTGCACTCGAACAGGCCAAGACAGCCCAGGTACAGTGGGGTGAATTCGGGCCAAGTAATTGGAATTTTCCTGGGAATCAATCTAAAACTTTAAATAATGCAAAATTACCATTTAAATTACAAGGAAATAGCATCGTTTGGCTTGGCACGCCATCTAAACATAAATGCAAACCATTAGTGGAAACACCTAAGTATGCTGAAACCCAATTATGTAATTAAAGCAACAATAGGTGTGTCTTTTTTTAACAGCTTTCAATATAAGAAATTATTGAATAACTCCATGACTATGACGATTTTCTCCAGGTCTGTGATTAACTTTTTCAGAGCCAATCATAAAGCCCATTCGCCACACTGTGCGCTGTGTCAAACTAATAACTGCTATTGCCGCAGCGTTTGTGTGTGGCGACCGTTGTCTGCACATGGTTGAAATCTAACGCCAAAAGCCAACAGCAACGTCGAGTACAAAAGCAACAACTTGGCGCCACAGCAGCAAACAGCAACAGCTATAGCAACACAGAGTCGGGCCAGTGGGCACCTTTTGGCCTCCATGGCTCGGCATGCTGAGCGCCTGGCCCCAAGTCTGGCCCAAAGCTTAAATATATATTATTTGTACATGTATGTATGTGGCAGTATCTGTGTGTATGGCTACCGTTTTCTGCAGCAATTGCCGCTCTGTGGGTTGGCTTTTTGCATAGTGTCAATTTTGATTTAGCAAAACGTTGCCATTGCTGCTGCTCTTGTGGTTGCAACTTGTGGTGCTGTTGCTATTCCTGTTGGTATTGCGGTTCCATCGTACTGTCAGCGCACCCGCCTAACACCTCCTGGGCAAATACACACCCACACCCACACACACATAGACAGAAAGTGGGTGGCGCTGACAAGTTTCTTGAAAAAACTTAGCAAAAGTCATAAAAATTATTTGCTGCGCATGTCAAGCTAAAAAAAAAACACAAACTGGGCGCAGCATCAACTTGATTTTCTCAACGATTTCACACAAAATACAATTAGTTGACGGGCCTCCGCTTATTTAAGTCTCATTTATTATTTTCAACATTATAAATAAGATTCAAATCTTAACTAATTTCAGTTGGTCTTGTTTATTATAAGAATGACTTTATCTTTTTCTTAGATGACATTTTAGCTATTAATTCCCAGATATTATTCTAAATACTTTGCTTTTCTTGAAAGTCTTGTATTCTATCATAGGCAAGCTGTTTTGCACTGAGCCTTGGTCTCAAAATTGTTACCATTTTGTGCCCCACCTAAGAAGATGAATCTCTGGCACTTTTGCGACGTGGAATTGTAGAACCACCTCCGGATGTAGGCTTTGCCATTGCCCTTATCCAATGGCTGCAGACATACATTTTTGACTAGAATTGTATTTGAGTTAAAGATATAGAAACTTAATATTTTTTGTTTTTTTCACTCACTCTGCTCACTAAGATGCAGGCTAACCAAGAACAAAATAAGACAAAATATTATTTTCATGATGGAACAACTGAAACTAGCTACGAAAAATTTCTTTACAGGGCTTTTATACAACAGAATTTATAAAAGCAGGTGGCGCAAAGCAAATATACTTTTTATGTTTTAAAAGCTGGCTGTTTTTAATCATCTGCAGTTTATTTCAGTTAATTACGAATAAAAATTTTGAAAATATTTACTTAATGTTGGGGTTTAACACAATTAAGTCATCTGTGTGGTAGAAAACGAATAAACAGACCCATTACCCTTTAAAACTATTATTTTAAAAATTTCTTTAACAATTTTTCTTATCTACAAGCAATTCTGCATTGCCAAATTGTGCCAAACATATTCCCTTTCATAACATTTCCTTCATTTCTTCTGGCACGGTAAGTAAATTGCCTACAAGTTTTTCCTTTCCTGTCGAAGTAGAAACGAGTCCTAAGGACAGGTCCCACTCCATTATTGCGATTCAGTAGGCAACGGGCTTGACCTTTGGAGAATTTTATATAAAAACAAAATATACTTAATAAAGTATTCTCTACTCACGGCAGTTCATGTAAGTCGGAAAGAGACTTAAGATGAGGCACAGATATAGCCACTTGAAGAGCATGATTTATGTGCGATAACTTGTAAGCTGATAAATGCAAGAGGTACGAATATTAACAACCTTTTATAGGAGAATTAATATGCCCGATTAAAGCCCCATGTTTAATGCCCTATTAAGTGGCATTTTATATTCATTAACCAATTTAATGCGGGAAGATGTGTTTGTGCCACAAGCATCGTATAAAAACCGAATTACCCCACATCGCACCTATAAAAGTCAAAAAGTATATTTATTTTATGGCATTTTGAAGCAATTAGTCTCTCTCCCAAATATTTATTTTAGCACATTTAATTATCCCAGACACAAATGAAGCTCGGCTAACCGTTCACTGAAGTTAAATGAACTCCATTTCTGTTTGGCTTTGTGGCTCCTCGTGTTGCTGTTGTCTCTATGCAAATAGCCGATGAATGGAATTGAAAGTTGACACAGTTCACAAAGAATTTGAAATTTTTGCGAAAATAAAATAAACCGAAAGACAGCTTAATATGGAGAATGGGGTGTCCGTTTTATTAAATATGCATGGGCGGCGTTTTGAAATGGGATTTGTATTTCTATCGCCGAGTTTGAATGCATAAATAGGCAATCGTTGAAAAGGTTCCAGATCAATAGGCCGTAGATGGGGCCCTAGAATTGGTGAAAGAGATTGATCTGGTAGAAAGTATCGAGTGGAATGAATGAAGAGCCATTGTGGTAGGGGAATTAATTAGAGCATTCGGCCTGCCTCGGAGGTATGCCATATCTGTGGCCTCTCTAACTGTAAATTATTGGAATTTTGTATCAATTTGTAGATTCTGCAATCTCAATTACTTAGGCAAAAACTTTCTCAGGAAGCTGCTGTTCAGTCAGCGTGGAAAAACTTGTTTCGATTTCCACTCAGCCATCATTCAGTCTTCAGTTTTTTTTTTTCATCTCTGTTACATAGCTAGCTGATTGATCTGATAGCGCAAAAAATATTTAATATATATATATAGAAATTGATTTCTTGATGACTATGGTCCATCCATCAAAATTGATCTTGCCGCAAAATTGTGGCTTCTCGTTTTTGGTTTTTGTTAAGTTTCCTTAATGGTTTTGTGCCATTTCTTCGTCATTATCTGTAACTAAAAATTTCACCGGACCCATTAAAGGAGAACGCGCGGATTTTAGTCAAACTAATTAAACCGAATCTTATATAATGAACCGTGAACAAAATGACCGTGAAGAGGAGCAGGAAAACAGACAGGGAGGGGAGAGCCAGGGTAGATGGGGAGACGAGGCGACCATGGCGGCGATTGAAACATTGAGACTGTCATCAATCAAAGGCAAATTCTTCTGGGGCTTCTCCTCCGGCTTGAGAGCATAATTCAAATTCCAGGCGCAACCAGTTCGTTGCTTGAGTCTTTCGTTTTGGCGTTGCTGCCTTCGCAGAGCACTTTTGTCAGAAACTGTAGATAAAGCGGGGCTTAACCCAAAATTAAATACCCAGTGATCCCGTAGTTGGAGTCGGAGCAAAATAAATCACAAAATAAAACCCAGAAACGAGGCAGAAACTCATTGCAAATTACATGCTGTTCCACCTAAAAAGGATGGTGGGGGGCGAGGTCCCAAGGAGGAGTGCTGACGTTGATGGGGCCAAAACAATTGCGGACGTGAATGATGGCACAGCTAATCCCCAGATCCGAGATCCGAAATCCAAGATCCAACATCCAAGAACGGAGATCTCCGATTCCAAGAGACATAAATCCAGGCCAAGTCAAAGTCCAATAAAAATGTCGACCAAATGCAAAAAGCGACAAATGCTTGACGGACCAAATGTCAGAGTTAATTTATCTAAAAGCGTTGCCCGACTTTTTGGAAAAGAGACAGCATCGCTGGCCAAAAACAGAGATGCAGATAGAGTCACTCGGCGCGAAAGAGAGATCGGAAAATTTTAATTAAGACAAAATATTTGAAATTCTGGTGAAGACAACGAGGTCTTTCTAACAAGAAGCCAACAATTTGCCGCGCGCAATTTTTCAAATTACATTTCATTAGAGAGCACAGGCCAAACAGAGACAGCACCACCTGGCGGGAGAGAGATGGGGCGATGATCAAGTGATAAGTGGAAGAGAAAATCCAACAACAGCGAATGTAAAGCACCGTTTTGTCTGACTCTTTGGCAACTTTTCACTTGGACATCTCAGAGACAGAGGCAGAGAAAAGGAGGGATATACCCGGCTAGAGAGAGATCGAGAGAAGGACGGAGGAAACAGGTTATCTGTGAGATACCCGCATGCTTAAAGCCAAAAGACGCCCGCATAGACTTGGCTTTATATTTATTTTTCTGTCTTGGCATCTAATATGCTTCACATAAATTGTTTAACAAATTAAATTTTAAAGTTCAGTTCAGCAATGCCCTGAAAGACAAAAAAATCAACAATTGCGACAACAACTAAAGCAGCAACTATGTCAGTCACTCGGCAACATTGCCAACTAGCAGCGAAACAACATTCCAGCTGCCTGCCTCCCCACCCCCTTCCTATAGGCCCCAAACCCCCCAATGCACCCCTCTCCTGGTGGGACGATCGTCAAGCTCGTAACTAGCTGGAGCTACAAGTCGCCGTTTCTAATACAAAACTGTCGCTTGTGGCGTGAGAGACTCTGACTCTGACTCCGACTGCAACTGCAACTTCGAATGCAACAGCAGCTCGGGCCAGCTCTCTTGGCCACGATTCCCGTCGAAGCAAAATAACAGAAAAATGAAAAGAAAAAAATAAAAATAAAGTTAATCAAAAAAAAAAAAAGAAATAATAAAAAATACGTCGCATTGCATTTTAGTATTTGCTGATTGCGCTGTTGCAAGAGCTATGAAATCATACAAACAGACATATAAATACCCCTACTCACACACACAATGCAGGGAGACATACAATAAAAGTTGTGGACAAGAAAGGAAAGTCGATTAGCCGAAGGTAGACACCGACATGGATACACCCTTAATATAGCAGACCGTAATTTCCAATTAACAAATCACACCACCAATAAAATGACTAAAATATTACAAGCTCTTCCAGACACGAGGGTTCGTATGTCTTTCCTAAATGGAAGTTTTTATGGTTTTTTGTACTTTAATGGTAAAACCATAACAAGCATATAATCGTCTGGTATTATAAAGAAATATATTAAAAGTAATCGTTATTTGGCCTTATAAAGTTACTCTGCTGTTCTATATGCAAATTAAGAAGAACTATAAATTTATATCTCTTTGTGATGCAAAAATCTATTCCAAACTTTTATAAATTTTTTGGCAAATATTTTTTATGTCCAATTTTTTAATTAATTTCTTTGGCCAAAAAATAAAATAAATGAATTTCATATATTCGTATAAACGGTTAATGGTTCTCCACGTAGCTAATGGATCCTTGAAATTGAAAAAAAAAATACGAAATAAATAAATAAAGGAAAAAACTGTTGAAAATCTCATGAAATCGGCGAGGGGCTTTTCCATGTCCACCGGTGGTTGGGGGCTGCAATGATGGCGGCAGCCTTTTGGCTTGAAAGCTTTTTGGCTTTGATTGCCAGCGCCGGATTGAGTTTGGGGCTGCTTGCCATGGCTATATCGTTTTAGCCGACTGTTGGCCGGCTGGCCGAGTGGCTGGCTGGCTGGCCTGTCATTGCAATGCGCATATGTTGACATTTTTTATAGGAAATATTTTAAATTGTTGTTAAATGCATGAATAAATGGACAAATGCCTCTGTGCCACAGCGAAATCTTTCGACGCTTTCGACTATTCGCCGCCGGCATGGAAAGTGTATGCTTAACACAAATGCCAAAATGTTTATATCAAAGGCATATCTTGCTGGCCTGACAGATATCAAATGACCAATTTGTAATCATTTAACATGCAGAAATTACACGGAAGAAGCTTGGAATACGACATAATAAATTTGTTTGCTTGTTTGCTGTGGGACGCCTTTAGGAATATATGGTATTTCCAGTTAAAATAGCAACAGGGGCACCCCCTTGGGCAGTTCGCTAATGATGTGAAGATCCGAAAACATTCGGCCAACACGTGTGCCGCAGATTGGCTGGCCAGCCAGGCAGCCGAGCTATCCAGCTATAACATTATCTACATCGGACTCGGACAGTTCCAGGAAAATTATGAATATACACGGCTATTTTCGCGGAGGAAAAAGGAAAGTCATTTCGCATTCTGTATTCTGCAGATAATTGCCAACCAATAGATACTCCTAGAGGGTGTGTGTGTGTCTTGGTGAGTGAGTCGTTGTGTTGGCAGGCATGAAATTCAATCAGTTGGCCATAAACATATCCGTTGCTGCAACTCCTAGTTGAGTTAATGACCAGCCGAGAGATCCCAACTTCCTCTACGTGTATAATTTGCATGCAACAGCTCGCCAAGAGGGTGTATCTGTATCTCGTGCACGGCCATCTGTATCTGTATTTGTATCCTATCTGTGCGAACGAGTTATATGCCAAAGTGGTGCATGCAGCAGCACCACCAGCAGTAACAGCAAAAGCAACAACACCACCAACAATAATAAATATATATCTCTAAAGGTGTGATTTTAATGTGACAACTTTTGCAACTGGTTCGTGTCCGTGTTGTTCGCAGCTCACAGCACACAGCTCGCAGTTCCAGCCTAGAGAGTTTTCTTTGCTTTTTTCGAGGTGTCAAGGGGAATGGGCGTACGAATAATTCCATTAAAGTTTTACGATCGGGCAATATTAATAAAGAAAACTAAAGAATATACATATATGTATATTTTTTTCATTCCCATGGCACGAAGCCACACAAAGACCAAAAGGTAGAGCGGCATAGGTATGATGGGGTAAGATAGAGATGGCGAGTCAGAAAACCTGAATCTTGCATTGCAATTTAATAATTTAATAAATTGTGATCGTTGTGTTTTTTTTTACTTCTTTTTTGTTTTTCTACCTTGCTGATTATACACGTAACTCCTTATGGTTCTCATTTATGCATCGCATAGCACTTTGTTTTTTGTCAGTTTTTGCAGCTTCATTTAATTCCCATTTATTTTCAGATTCTATCCTTTTTTCTCTTGATTTCTCTTCTCTTTTATTTGTAATTTTTTTCGTTGTTATTCACTCACAAATCGCACACACTTTTCTCTACTTTATTTTCATTGCAGGTCGTGTCTCGGTGTGTGCGTTCTCCGATCTTTCACTCTGGGCTCTTTAGCTTGGCCTCCGTGTTATCTTTTTGCGCTCACTGACTCACGGCACTCACAAAAACACACCAACACACACACAAAGACACGTAGGCAGGCACGCAACCAAATGCGGCCCGTAAATGCTCAAGACGAAAGTCCGTTCCACACCTGGACGATCCCGATCCGACAGCGCACGGCAACAGGTAAATGGCAACTGAGTCGACGGTCTCACCATAGAGGCTCGAAGAGTAGCTCAGATCCGATCCGATGGCAGCTGGAGAGTGTCTTTGCTCTCTTGGCCAGCTAAAGAATTCACCACAAGTGGTTATAAGGAGGCATTGCCAGGCGCAAATCGAAAGACTTAGGCGACAAACTTGTTGAGTTTCCACAAAAAAATTTTGTTTCAAAAAAATTTTGAAGTTAAATTTTGATTTAAGTTTTTTTAGTTAAAAATAGATTTTTTTATTTTATTTATTTTTTTAAATTACCAAAGTTTTTAAATTAAACATAAATTCAAATAATATGACTGATACAATCCAGATTGTAAAATTTTTAATATAAATCCATTTAATTAATTAATTATTTTTCGACAAAAATAATTTAAAAATAATATAGAAAGAAATTTAAAAAATACCTTAAAAATATAATCAAAATATTGATAATTCAAAAATCGACTAAGAAATTTTAATTTAATATTTATATGTATATAAAGTTATTAATAATAATTTCTAAACCGGCTAATGCTTAATATTTCTTAGAATTACGCCATATGTTAGTATGCTGTTGGGATAATCCGGGTAGAATTTCTTCACCCGTTACACTTTCCCAAAACTCCGAAATCCTCACCCCTTTCCCGCAATTATCTCGTGTGTTGAACATGTTGTACTACTTTTATGATTCTGCTGCTGAGCTGCAGTGTTTGCAAAAAAATTTCCACCATGGCATAACTAAATATGCCTGTGGGCTAAACTGGCATACCAAAAAAACCGAAGAGAGCGCCCGCCATCAAGATCCTCGCTCATGGAAATGCTTCGATTCTTCGATGAAAGCTGGCAGAGAGACCTAAGAGCGGGCTGCACACACCTGTGTATGGGTGTGAGTGTACGGGCGAGTGAGTGAGCTGGATTACAGGCGCGCATGCTCAGCGCACGCCTCTCCATGCCGCCCCCCTCCCTAGCGATCCCACACGCTCGCCCCTTTTGTTTGCAATGGAATTTCTTTCTTTTCATAAACATGTTTCTGGCCGTGCTGTTGTTGGCTTATTACAGCATTTATGAGGCGAAAGAGCGAGAGGTAGCTCTAAGCCAAAGTGGCATGAAACAAGTTCAGCGCTCGACTTCTGCTCCGCTCTCCTCGGCTCGGCTCAGTTCGGTTCAGATCAGTTCACCTCAGTTGGATGCGTTCCTGGCCAACTCCAGCCAGCTCCAGCTCCAGCTCCGGCTCCCAACCGCTTCTTGAATGACTGCAGCGCAGGAATGCAGTGTTGTAAATAGTTAAGGCCGCACCGACGTCCATGGCGGCCGTGGCTGCGACGCCGGCAGCGACTGTAAGCGGTCCGGCCAACATTGTTGTTGTTGGCCGCAGAATCAGAGCAAGTCGTAGGACCTGGCCAGCAGATCGCGACAACGATCAGGCCAAAGCGCTGGAGCAGGAGCTGATCACTGAACACAAAATGTAAAAAAAAAAACAGGTCAATTAAAAAAAAAAACTCTTAAAATAAATATGTAAATTTTAATCTTTTAGAATGTTAAAAATGTTAAAAAAAATATACAATATTTGATATATTTTTTTTTTATGTGCATCTGAAGCTGTTACTGTGACCGTGGAGCTGGAGCTGGAGCTGTTGCTGTAGATGGAGCAATGAAAATTGCTGAGAGCGCCCCGAGGGCTTCCAACTTGGATTGGGACTGGACATGGTTCGGGTCTCTTGCTGCTGCTCTTGACCACGATCGATAACGCTCATATACACCCAAACACACACACAACAGCCCAAGACAGTGGAGCAGTCGGTGGAGTGTAGGTTATGTTTATGAATTGTCTTGCAGATTTTTGCACACGGAATTATGCGTTTATCTCAGAGGGTTAATTTTGTGGCTGCTGCAGTTGTGCGGTTCTTATTGTTGCTGTTATTGCCGCTGTTTTCCATAGTCTGGGTAATTAAATCGCAAGAAGCTGATAATATATGGAAAGGGGCTCAAAGTGTAGAGGAAAATGGTTTCTTTTTTTTACCATTACCCTTCATTTTTTGTTTTTTTTTTTGCCAAAAGGGTTTCTGGCTGTGCTGCGGCATTTGAGGCTGCTGTTGAAGTTGCTGCTGTGCATTTGCCCGCTAGGAAATTATTCATGATAACAGAGATTGCATTGATTGATTGTGTGGCTGCACTTGGGATGGGTTTGCCGCGGCTCGCCTCAGTGCCGATGGGGTCGCGGGATTGTGGGGGAGCCGCAACTTCGACGGCTCCCGAGCCTGAGTTATTTGGGCTATTATATGTCTGTGATTTGGCCATAAGTTATACGAACATCGACAATCAATTGTTGGCGGGTCTAGGCGGTTACCAAATGTGGCAGTAGTAGCTGGCCCCTGGCAACGGTATTCTGAAATTTAATAGGCTTTAAGAGGAATTCGGAAGGAGTAATCCTTGTAGGATAAGAAGTAATGCCTGGTCTTCAATTATCCGGGAGTAATAGTGACAAGACCATGTCTAAACATTTCTGCAGACTTTCTAAGACCTACATCGAAACTCGTTGAGGTTTCTTTGACACTTTGACCTTGTTACCAGTTTTATATTCTAATTGTTTGTAATTAATTGACTGCAGGATAGCCATTCAGTAAATAAAGTAACCAAGAACTATATATAACTGCAGACATAAACCCAGTTCAGACCCCTAAAAATATGCAACGCAAACGTTTCTGGCCTCGATTTCGAGTTGAACAACCCAGAGCAACCAGAAAAAGCGACATTCGGGGGATGGGCAATGATGGAAGGGGGTATTTATACATATACATGACCAAATATTGGCACAAATGAGCGTGTCTTCAGTGCATTGACGAGCTCCCCTTTTTGGTATCGATCAAACAGCCGAAGAACCAATATAGTAGAGATTCCTTAACTTTTCCCCCAACGGGACTGTCGAGCTGCCATGGCGACAATTGCATTGCACCGGAGGGAAATGCTAATGGGAGTGCTGTGGAATCTCGCTGACAGGGCACGCCATGGCACCAAACACATTATGGAAGCACACTAAACTATATACATATCGGGTGATGGGGGATACTATATGGCATCAGCCAGACGAGTCTATAAAAGCTTTGGCCTGTGTTTGCGGCCGTTTCAGTTCAACTTCAACGCGTCGTCGTCCTGTCGTCCTGTCGCTCAACTTTCTCGCTGAAACAAAGAAACAATTAAAGTGCAAACCGCAAGCCGCAAGCCGGAAGGAAGTGCATACCACAAGTGCTTCCCCAGCTCCACCTCAGCTACAGCTCCTCCAGCTTGCTTCTCCCACCGCGTTGCATGTTGCATTGTGCCGCAGAAACTTTTAGTGTTCGTCTCTGCCCCCCATCCATGTTGCTGGTAAAATGAAAGCCGACAACTTCCTCAAGTACGGTGCCCCTTTGTACAATTCGAAAAGTGTCCGGAGCCACTCGCAGAGCCAACCGCAAGGCAGCCACATCGGAAACATCGCTAACCTGACATCGTCCTCGCTCCTGACGAGCGACGACTTGCGTCATCTCACCCAGCATCGTTCCGCAGGATACTCGGACAGGGAGAGCATTGCCAGCGTTAGCAGTGCGGGTGGCAGGATTAAGAGGCGATCGAGGTAATTTCACTTGCAGGATAACAAACTTTGCTGCTGTCTTGAGTTGTCCTTGCTGGAAGTTGGTCAGCAACTTCGAGCTGACAAAGTACGGGATGACAAAAACATTGAACTCAAGTCCTTCTGCTCTTGTTCTTCTACAGAAATTATGTAACAATTCAATGTTGCAAGGATACGGAATTCGAGGGCATTTCTTGTTTTATAGTATTTAAATCCTAATGAAAAAAGCGAATGGTAGTGTAATAAACTTAAAATATAGTAAGACCTGCTATTCAAGTTAAAACAAACATGATATTAAATCTAGATTTCTGCTTTCCTCCCCACCTTATTTTTCAAAGAAAGATAACCTGGATATTTAGAATTCTATTAATAAATACAGTTACAATATAGGTCCTAAAAAGGACCTGCTTTAGGGTAGCAAGGATTGAACAACCCCTAGGAGGTGGTGTTATTTCAACCATGACGCATGCACTCGGCCACAGGAGCAGGGTTAAAACCCAACTTGTTGTCCTGGCAACAATAGCCACACCACTTCCCAATTGTCACCCCAACAGATAGCTTCAATTTTTTTAGCTTTTAGTTCCTTTCAGTTGCTCGACTGCAACTCAGTTTTCTAGTCAAAATTTTCTCCATTACAATGTGATGTCCTAGATGTCTGATTTAGTGCCTTTCCTGTACGATTTAGAAACTTCCCGATGAAGTCCTCGAAGGGCATCAGCAAGAAGAGCAAGACCATGGATTACACCAACTACGCCTACAATGAGGCCGTGGGTCGCCTTAAGGTAATGCTGGCCGATAATTCATACGTGGCTCCGAAACTAGGAGGTGCCACTTCCTCCTATTTACGGAATTTCAACGAGGATTCCGGGGACAACTTCTCCGACAACTTATCGGTGGGTGGACATAAAAAATGGTTAATATTGTGTTTTTAAAAGTTTCGATTCAATTAGGTTATTGAGCGTCCTGTCTTTTCGGACATTTCCAAGTACTTGTCGCCAAGTCAAAAGTCACGAATGACCTCGTACCGACCCAAAAAGAGCTACACTTCCGGATACATATCTTCCTCCAAGGAAAATCTAGCTTCCAATCCGGTTATCTATCCGAGCAGCTCTGTTCCAGCTGCGCCTCTGCCCGCCGAGAGCGTCCCGGCTCCCGTGGAGATCTTTAGCTTTATTGAGAAGCAGGAGGACTACATCGAACAGTTGGAGAAGGAGTCCAAATACTGTCGCAACGAGCTGACCAATCTCCTCGGAAAAGTCAAGGATGTGATTAATGAAAACGAGCAGCTGACGGAGAATGCCAGATCCGAGCTGGTGGCCTTAGGTTCGGGCAAGTCCCAGCCGGTGGTGGCCACTACAAGTCCATCGTCGGATAGCGATGAGCATTTGGTTTACGGCAGTGGACGAAAGACACCCACAACCCCTCGAAAAGGAGGCTCAAAGGTGGCTCAAGTGCAAAGTCCCCGATATGCAAGTGCTCCGAATATCGTTTACGAGGCCAGGATCAGCGAACTGGAGGCGGAGCTGATGCAGGCCAGCATCGATTTGAGGCGTCTCCGCACGGAGAACGAGGAACTGAAGCGGAAATTGTCCCACACCGATCCCCTTTCCACGGTGGCCACCCTAACCGGAGGAGCCAATTGCGAACTGCACCGCAAGCAGTTAGAGTCCCTGCAGCAGGATAAGCTTAATCTGGAGGAGAGTGTGCGCCACTTGCAGCGGCTCCTGGACGAGGCCAAGGCCCAGAGCCAAGGTAGCGCCTCTTCCAAGAGGTACATCAACGACCTTGTCCAAATGGAGCGATCCCAGGCAGAGCTGGAGGTCCGCCATCTCCGGGATGAGCTGGACAGGCAGCATGAGCGGGTGCGGGAGCTGCAGCACGAGATGGCCCGAAGACTGGCGGAGGAGCGGGCCAGTGCCGAAAGACGCTACAACAGCCAGGTGGACCAGCTGGGCGGAGATCTTAGCTGTCAGTGGGAGCAAGTGGCCAAGTTGCAGCTCGATTTAGAGCGCCAGAAGCGTTACGAAACCGATCTCAAGCGGGACGTGGCGAGTCGAAATTCACAGATCGAGGAGCTTAAGATGGAGCTGAGAGCCAATAGGACCACCTTCTTGGCGGACATGGCCCAGGTGAATGCTGAGAAGCAGTCCCTGGAGCAGGAGATCACCTCGCTCCGGCTCCAGCTGGACCGGGCTGCCAGGGAGACCAAGACAGAGGCAGCTCGTCTCACGGCGGAGATTAACTCCTTGAGGCAGCGACTCGATAGGGGGGACGCCGATCTTCTGCACTCCAAGAGGGAGGTCCTGCGTCTCAATGATGAGATAGCCAACCTGGAGAAGGAGGTAAGACATTAAAGGTGATCCAAGTCTCAGTGATATACTAACTTTAATTCACAGCTGGCTTACGGAGAAATGAAGAACGAAGTTCGACCCACCAAGAAGGATTTGGACAAGCGAATCTCAGAGCTACAGGATAAGCATGGTAAGTACATAAGGTAATCTCTATCTCCAATGGAACACTCTTTCTTCTATGAACACCCCTTAGTATCCTGTCACTATCCTTCCTATAAACTCTGGTTAACCTATTGAAGCTCGTAATGCGTTTCTGTGTGTGTCTTGAAGAAAATTTCCATTCCATTCAATCAAATCCCATAAAATTCCAATTCGAAATTGCCCTTAGAGTGATGTTCAATAGTTTATCCATGAGTTTTTTTCTGTAGCGTGTTGCATTTAAGCCCATATCGAAAATATATGCTTTTAAGCCCTATAACTAAACCGTTAAATGTCTGTTTGTAGCGGAAACGGTAAATGAACTTGAGGAAATGATAACATCTCAGAAGCAACTCATGGATAAACTGACGGGCGAGTGTAAGACCCTGACGGGCAAGTTAGAGGATACGACCTACAAGCACAAGTAAATATGACTGATAATGTTACTCAATGGTTATTGTTAAGAACTTAAATTATTAGTTATGCCTATCACCAATTAATTACTCAAGTAACACTTTAGAATGTTGAGAATATGTGAATTTTTGATTGAAACTCTGTTTGACATACAAGCATAAAAATATATGTGGAAACCACCGCACAGCGCAATATGAAATTCAAGGCCAACCAAAGTTTTTCCCACCAGTATCCGACACCAATTTTCTTTTTCGAGATTCGTTCCACACCAAAGCAAAAGCAAAAGCAAAAAAAAAAATATCAAAACATAAACATCTCGACCTAGCTTGAGACTGGATTAACATGCTGTACTTGTACTTCTTCAAACTTTTCTTTCGCTGCCTGCCTGCAATGCAAAAATTTTTCGCGCTAATTAGAACCAATTTGCGATCGTGTGATGCCAACAACAACAGCAGCAGCAACAGCCACTACAACATCAACAAACGAACCTTTGACCGAAGCTGCAACAACAATAGCAACAGTGTCTACAATGCCAACAATAACAAAAGAAAGCGCAAACGAGTTCATTTTGCTGCCTGATTTGGATATAGCCGAATTGGGAGGAGATGTTGCTCCTGTGACGGCTGCTGATGTTGCTGCTGTCGATGGCGATGAGATCCTGCAGAATATAATCCGGAGCAACGAGAGATTGGCTAAGGAACTGGCCAAAATGCCACCGTTGCCAAAGTTATCCAGCTACAAGAAGCCCCGAAGCAGGCCTCAAGATGCCACAGCAACAGCAACAACATCAGCAATAGAAGCAACATTGGCGGCAAGTAGGCCAAAATGCTTTTGCCCCAGTTTCATGCGACACAGCCATACAATGCGCAGACGCAGCAGCAGCGGCAGCAACGGTAGCGAGGCATGTTGCCGCAGTCGTAACGCCAGCAGGCAGCAACAACCGTCAGCAGCAGCGGCAACATCAGGCAGCAAAGCGCGTACACAAACCACTCACAGCAAGAGCATGCTTTGTCACGGCCATGAGTTCACCCTAGACACACACCACCATCATCACCACCAACACCCAACGCACCGCACCAGCAACATTGCCGCCGAACAGCAGCAACATCATCGCCACTCGGAGTGCTGTCATCCGTCCAAAACGGATCCGTTGCCTTGGATGCAACAGCATCTAGTTTTGAACCAGACCATCAGCAGCAGTGGCAGTGCCTCCAATTGTCAGCCCACATGTCAAGCCCAGAACTTGACAGTGAATGCTGAGAGTATGGCAGCAGCAGCAGAAGCGGCACAAGCCGCCGCAGCATCCACCTGCCGAGGTCCTGGTAGCAATGCTCTGAGCGCCAGCATCAAGCCTAAGCTCTACTTTGAGCAGCTGTTGCAACGCGATGGCTGCCACAAGAAGCCACGCCCTCCCGTCAAGGTGGATGTGAATGTGCGGCTAGTTCCGAAGCAGCCGAAGGTCCAGGACAAGATCACCCGTTCGCTGAACGATACCTTTGTCAAGGAGGTGGATGCGGTGGCCCATGCTCTCAATGAAACCTTCGTCAAGGAGACGGATAACGATACTTCTCCGGAACTGGCTCACATTGATGAGCAACTGGCGGAGCTGGAGCAGGATCGCCAGCGGGATCGGGACGAGGAAGAGGAGGAGGAGGAGCAGACAACCAAGCTTTGATAGTGTTTTTTTAATCCACGTTTTAGTCTTAAGTTTAAGGTATATTCTTAATATAAAGGTTAAGGGAAAAATCACTCTAGTTAAGTTTTTAAAACTTTATTTTTTAAAATGTTATTCATTTTCTAAATTACGTTTAAATATGTTGCTATATGGATTAATGTAAATTTTAGTTTAAAAACCACTTACCTGATTTATTTAATTATAATTTTTAAAGTTTGGAGAAGCAACAGCTACGTGCCACAAACGAGCAGCTGATGTCACGCCTCAGACAAATCTGGGCCAAATACAAGTCACAATTGCCAGTGCACCAAGGATCCTTAGAGCCGAGCTCTGAGGATATGCAGGGAGATGATGAGCACTTAATGAAAACATTATCGGTAAGAGGTTTTATTCACTATCCGACTAATAGTCTCTTTTCTTTCTCTCTTTCTTTCTATTTTTCCTATTTCTTCTATCTTTCTAAAACCTCTATCTGTCTTACCTTCTTTCCTCTGCAAAGAGAGGAAATATCTGCTCTACAATCGAATCTAGAGTATCTGTCGAATCGCATGTTGAGTAATGAGGAGCATATGAGTAAATTAGATACCTCACCACATGATTATACTAGCTTAGTTCCTGGAAAAGGTAAAGTTTATAGAGTTTGGAAAACAATTAGAATCCTAGAGCGATACACACATACACAGAACGAGAGTTTAATTCTCAACTGATTTCATTATCAGAGCCGGAACCCGAAACCGAGGAAGCGGAGAAGCCGGATGAGGCCCCAAATCCGATTTAGACACTGTTACACCCCTTACCCTAAGACACTCGATAACATTCGATTGGCGAGCCACTCTAACCACCAAAATTTCTAAATTTCTTGTACCCACACAGCCGCTTACGACTACCAGGCAGCCACATATGGCACCACAATCGATCCCATACAAAGCACCGCACAACCACACAACAGCGCCGGCGACGACGACTACTCCACTGCAGCCGGCGGAGTCCTGGACGGAGCTTCAGATCCCGCAACAGTTGCCGCACTTGCAGCAACACCATCAGCAGCAGCAACAGCTTCTGCTGCAGCCACTGCCGCAGCCAGTATTGCTGCCGCAGCAGCAACAGGTCGCAAGAGCAGCATTAGCAATGGCAAAGGACTCCTCTCGGACTATGGACTCCACGATAACGATGACGAGAATCTCAAGGACAACCTTGGCCTGGGCGAAAAGCAGCAGCAGCAGCAACAACAGGAGCAGGAGCGCCAACGGGAGCGCGAGGAAAGAGACCGCGAGTTGCAGCAACTACGCGAGCAGCGGGAAAAGCGGGAAAGGGAGCGCGAGAGGGAGAGGGAGCGAGAGCAGGCAGAGCAGCAGCAGCAGGCGGAGCAGCAGAAACAGCAGCAGCAATCCCTGCCAGAAAGCAGCATCAGCAATGCCGGCAGTGCCAACCTGGCCGCCTACAACACGGACTACAGCGCCTACGACCAGCAGCAGTACGATGCCAGTGCCTACGATCCCAACGCCTACGCCCAGCAGCAGTACGAGGGCCAACAGTACGACTACGGGGATCCGGGGGCCGGCTACGACTACGGAGCCACCGATTACGGACAGTCTGGATACCAGTATGACGCCACGCCAGCAGGCCCCGCGACCACTCAGCCGCAGCCCTCTTACCAGGCAGCTCCCCAGCAGCGAGTGGATTACCAACGATCGCCACCTGCGTCAGCGGCGACAACGGGCATCACGTCACCGCCAGCCACAGCAGGAGGTGGTGGTGCAGCCGGATCTCCCGGAGCTGGAACAGGTCCAGCAGCCCCTGTATCCGCTGCGAGCCGACCACAACCGCGCTCGGGCAGTGGAGCTGTGGGGTCAGCAGCTCCTGGTGTCGGACCAGTCGCCGGCGGCAAATCCACTCTGCCACAACAGCCTGCCCCGACCACCGCCGGCAAGAAGTAGCTGGAGTCCCGACTGCGAGGACCCCCTGCCCCTGGAAGGCTCTATAAGTAGCCCCAGCCTGATGCGCTCCTCCAACGACGAGACCTGCTCCGAGCTAGCCGATCTCAGCGAGACCTTCATCCTCCTGCCCGACTACGGAGGCGGAGGCTCCCCGGATGACGAGGAGGAAGAGTTGAGCTTGTCACCGGCCCACACCACAATCATCACGGCCAGGAAGTCGAGTGCTCCGGCCGCCATCCAGCAGCAGGGGGACATTGCCAACGAAACAGTCGTCATCGAGCGCGATCTAGATCTAGATCAGGAATAGTGGCACCGAGTTCTCCAGCAAAAATTTTTTCAGTAAAAATAAATAATGTACTTTTGACTCATGTGTTCCGGAATAAATTATTAAACGAAATTCAAGTTTTTTTACAAATAAATTAATTTAAAACTATCGATCTTTAATTAAGAAAATAGGGTGCGAAAACAGAAATATGTTTCGTCATTATGGCACTATGCACCAGTTCTAACGTAGTCTACGCGGTTTTCCTCCTTTATTCTTGTATTCCAGGAAAACAGCAATTACTTTTCTAATACTTACCCGGGTAAATTTTATTCGTCGCATTCTTCCATTTTTTGATGCACATCGAAGGTGCTCACATCCCTGATTCGTAAATGGTATTCCGTTTCCATATCCGATTCAAAATAGGTTAAATATTGAAAAAATGGGGTCGGGAAATATCCATTTTAGACGCCCCCTGGTCTTAACGTGGTCCACAAGGTTTTCCGCCCTCATTTACCTCAGGAATATAGCCATAACTTGGCTAAGCCTTATCCGATCCACAAATGGTTTTCATTCCCGATCTTAACTCTTCAAGCAGGTTCATATTTACTAAAAAACAGGCTAACTAAAATCGGACCCAATTTTCGCCATTTTACAAAGGGGTAACATCATGATTTCGGCCAAAAATCTACCCAAAATTTTATTCATCGGATTCTTTCATATTTTGATGCAGATCGAAGGTGCTTACATCCTTGATTCGTACATGGTATTCCGTTTTGACATCCGATGCTAAATAGCTTAAATCTTGCAAAAAAGGTGTCGGAAAATATCCATTTTAGCCACCCCTTAGTCTTAACGTGGTCCACAAGGTTTTTCGCCCTCATTTACCTCAGGAATATAGCCATAACTTGGCTAAGCCTTATCCGATCCACAAATGGTTTTCATTCCCGATCTTAACTCTTCAAGCAGGTTCATATTTACTAAAAAACAGGCAAACTAAAATCGGACCCAATTTTCGCCATTTTACAAAGGGGTAACATCATGATTTCGGCCAAAAATCTACCCAAAATTTTATTCATCGGATTCTTTCATATTTTGATGCAGATCGAAGGTGCTTACATCCTTGATTCGTACATGGTATTCCGTTTTGACATCCGATGCTAAATAGCTTAAATATTTCAAAAAAGGTGTCGGAAAATATCCATTTTAGCCACCCCTTAGTCTTAACGTGGTCCACAAGGTTTTTCGCCCTCATTTACCTCAGGAATATAGCCATAACTTGGCTAAGCCTTATCCGATCCACAAATGGTTTTCATTCCCGATCTTAACTCTTCAAGCAGGTTCATATTTACTAAAAAACAGGCTAACTAAAATCGGACCCAATTTTCGCCATTTTACAAAGGGGCAACATCATGATTTCGGCCAAAAATCTACCCAAAATTTTATTCATCGGATTCTTTCATATTTTGATGCAGATCGAAGGTGCTTACATCCTTGATTCGTACATGGTATTCCGTTTTGACATCCGATGCTAAATAGCTTAAATATTTCAAAAAAGGTGTCGGAAAATATCCATTTTAGCCACCCCTTAGTCTTAACGTGGTCCACAAGGTTTTTCGCCCTCATTTACCTCAGGAATATAGCCATAACTTGGCTAAGCCTTATCCGATCCACAAATGGTTTTCATTCCCGATTTTATCTCGACGAATAGGTTCATATTTAAAAACAAGAAAGGAAAGCTAACTTCGGGCGGAGCCGAAGTTTATATACCCTTGCAGCTAAAACCGGATATATATCGCAAACATCGGATATAGTTGGCCGATCCTTATGAAATTTGGTAGGATGGATCAAAATATAATCTGTACCAAGTTCCAGCTTTCTATCTTCAAAAACACGAAAGTTGGGTCATTTCCGATCGTTGAGTTATATGGCAGCTATAGGATATAGTCGGCCGATCCTTATGAAATTTGGCATGTCGTATTATTTTGCCAAAAATAGCTCTCATGTCAAATTTGAACTCTCTAACTCAAAAAACACCAAAGTTATACCATTTCCGATCAATCAGTTATATGGCAGCTATAGGATATAGTCGGCCGATCCGGGCCGTTCCGACTTATATACTGCGTGCAAAGGAAAGAAGGGTGTGTGCAAAGTTTCAAGACGATAGCTTTAAAACTGAGAGACTAGTTTGCGTAGAAACAGACAGACGGACAGACGGACAGACGGACATGCTCATATCAACTCAGGAGGTGATCCTGATCAAGAATATATATACTTTATAGGGTCGGAGATGTCTCCTTCACTGCGTTGCACACTTTTGGACAAAATTATAATACCCTCTGCAAGGGTATAAAAAACTGACGACCTAAAATCTGACCCAATTTTGGCCATTTTTCATGCTGCCCTGCTGCCCTATCATATCCTTGCTCCCTTGCTATCCTAGGCCAGCTTTAACTTATTTATATTTCAGAGTCTAAAACTAAACAAAAAAAACTACAATCCATAGAAATTCTAAGTTTCTAAGTCTCTAAGTGACTCCTTTACTTCCACAAGTAATAACTATTAACGTTAAAACTAATAAACAACTTTATGATGTAATGCCCCGGGCCCAGGACCACGCAACGCTGTCAAAACAACTAGAATGATGGCCAGATAGGAGCAGAATGTCCTGACAGACAGGCTCGTCAATTGCCAGCGACAACCAGCCAAGCACTCATAAAGTGCCAAAATAAAATGAACTTGACTTTGACTTTGGAGGATTGGTGTTTATGATGAGGTAGTAGTACTGCCACACAAATATAACTTAAATTTACTGAGTGTTTGACCGAAGGGTTGGGTCCTAGGATACGTCGGGATATGCGGTGGCTATGAGGCGCTTTCCCTTCCAGTCCCAGGCGTACGAGAATATGGAGGCACTCACGTGACCCAGCTGGATGTGGCAGGGCTCCTTTTCCGGGGTGGTAAGGAAGCAGGCGGTGTACAGGCTCATATCAAGCTCGGGCGACGTGCCCACAAATAGTCCGTTGTAGGGCTTTTGGATATTATAGAACGTGTGTCTGATACTCAAAAGCATTTGTTTGGGCTATTAGAGAATAATTTCGTTAATATTATTGCTATTATTGGGAAGTGTGAATGACACCTAGTTGATGAACTTATCACCTCACCTTTCCCATTTCCTGGTGCTTCATCCAGCCCTTATAGTCCACATTGCCGCGCTGCTCCTGATCGGCAAAGTAAAGCCAATTGTGCAGCCCCAGAACCTTCTGGTCCCGGATCTCGGCCATGAAAACGTGCTCGAAACTGGAGCTCCCTATAATGCCACGTCCCCGGGAGTAGGGAGTGAACCAGAGCTCTTGCAGCAGACGCAGCTGGTCATCGTAATCTGAGCTCACAATATCTGTGGGAGATTATCAAAAGGTTAGATACATACTAAAAGCGTCATTCTGGTATCTCGTCTTACCCTTGTTCACCAAAAATCTCATAGTTAGCTTCATCACCCGGGTGTTCATGACCGCCCTAAGGAAATCATGCTGCTCCTGTTCATGTTCGGGAGTGGAGTGTTCTGCCACGCCCACATCCAACTCATAGTTGTCAAAGAGTCGCATCAGCAGGGCGGTTGTGGAGTTGGCATCCCTAACCAGCAAGTCCTGATGCAGTTCAAAGAGGCTGAAATGGGTTGGTAACAAATTAAATTTTGTTAGGAAAGGTCCTCCTTCTAGGAGCACTTACTTTCTCGGGGCACGATCATCGTGGGCTCCAGATGAGGTCTTTCCCTGAATGTTCACCTTGTAGAGGTATGGACTGACCTCCAGTTCCTCCGCGTAGAGATTCTTTGAGAGGGTCAGCACATCGTCGGGCGTCTTGGGAAGCGGTTTGCTGTGGAAGTACTCTAAGAGAAGAAATATAAACTATATAAGATATATTTTCTCTTAAAATAAAAGAGATTTCTGACCGTAAAAGTGCCAACTCAAGATGCCAATCGTGATCAGCAGGCCAACAATCACGAATCTCTTGAGTTTCTGGCATTTTTCTCCGTCGAAGGGGCTGCTGCTGTTGTTTGTTTGCTGCGGCACTGCGTCCATTTTAATTTAATTAACAAACACTAATAATAATTAGTTAAACATTTGTTTTTGTGCCTTTTGTTTGTACCCTCGATTCGTTTTTGTTTTTAGCTGCTTTTTGGCAATAGATCTTTTCTGCGAAGATCGAGTTTATCTGCTCGAAGTATCTGGTCACAACAACGGTCGAAGTATCTCTGAGATAGCTCTGCTCCAGCGCTGATCCCACTGCTCATATTATGCACAAAATTCCCCCAAATTGGATAACTGGTTCTCCCGCTCTTTCTGTCAGTTGGGGCCTTCTTGCTCTCTGGGGGATCATCTGTTTCTGTTTGTTTTTGTCGTCTGCTTCGCCAGAGGCTCGTTGTTGCCCAGGTGCGGATTCAGGTTGCCCCCCACTATTTGGGTACTTCATAAAATGACAGCATATGGCGATAAGTGGTCAGTTACATGAATATATTCTTGCTCACACAAAAGTATGCGAGACCAACAGTCTTTAGCTTTAATAAAAAGGGTTTTGTTATAACCCTAACGTGTAGGTACTCAGTAGAAATAAAACAAAAACATATCAGAAGATACATATATGAGTATCAATTGCTTCTATAAATCGTTGGGGTAATAAATACTTTGCTTTTTCAAACAAAATTCTTACAAATGCTAACATATGGCCAGGCAGGTATGAAAATTCCAAAACAATTCCATTCGCACACATTCATAATTTTCAACGTGCCTAGAATAGTGAGTACTCTGTGGGGTTACTTAAACAAATAATTTAATCACGCAATTACCAATTTGCTTGTATGGTTAAATATCGCGTCATTTGTATGACCATCTCGACTGTAATTTAATGACACCCGAATCGGGTCTAAACATTAGTTTGCCAGGCCACAAGCCACCAACAGGAAGCAGTGACGTCTTGAGAAAACATTGAATAAATACAATTTAATACAAAATATTGTTTAATTATATAATAAAAGTTGAAGTGTGAAGCGACATTCGTCACTGAACATTTCTGAAGGCAAAACGATTATTCTTATGGTAACAACATGCAAAATTTTAATTATCAGAAACAAAATGGAAAGCCAATATTTTGGCACGCAGAAGTAATTATTGGCACAAGTTCTAAAAATATGTCAAATTAATTGCAATAAATTATTTCATATCTTCAAATTATTTACTAAAGCATAATGGAAACTTTTTTTTAGTATAAATATAAATCTTTAATTATCTTAATCTAATTCTACATGGAAACAACATTTTGGATGATTTGTCATCGTAATCTAAAGCTCTATTATCCCGGGAGTCATTGAGCATGTTTTTTTTATTGGTTAGAACTTCTGTTTTGTCTTAAAGATTCGTCAATAATTATCACGCAATTCGTGTTCAATATTGGGAAATAGAAATACATATACATACAAACAACAAGCTTAACTTTCTCCCAAGTTTATTTTCTAATGATTCTAAATGCTTCGGCTTCATGATAGATGGAACCGAAGATTACCAGTTCGGGCACAACAATAGTTGCTATTGTGTTTGCCACGTTCGGAAATCTTTTATAAGGCACCAGCTGGTAAGATATTGTGTTCAGTTTGAATTTAATCAGCGGTCTGTGCAGTTGCTCGGAATTCAATAATTTAGACAGTGAGTGTGAATTGAAATATAGTATTTGGGGATATCTATGCAAATATTTTCAATTGACTTTATTACACTCTTCAATTAATAAAACAATTTACGGTGTATTTTGTGGTGTGATGTTTAAAAGAAATTTATTAAATTAATATTGAAAAGATTTTGTTTGTTGTCTGTGGCCTTAGAGGTGTAAGTTCTAGGGACTTGTTTACTTGCTGATAGTGAGCTGGAAAATTTAAAAATAGTATATAAAAATGATAAGGAAATTCGAATTTGGTGGTCTGTTGCTCGTAAAACTGCACTATACTGTTATCAAGGGGAAAGTTTACTAATCATTTAAAACAGCAGTTTAAACTTGATTTAATTGAAAGAAAATAAAACCTGTAAAGGTTTAAGGTTATATAATGTGGAAACTTATATCTATTAAAAATCTATATTTTTCATATCATACAATATATTCTATTAAAAAAACAGAAACATGCGGCAAGAAGACAAATTTATTTATAATTTTAATTCGAATATCAAATAAAGAAAAATATTATTTTATATATAAAATAACTATTATATAAATAGTTCAGTCAACATTTTTAGAGTTTTTTAAAGAATAGACTTAGTGTATTTCCTTATAATAGATTTCCTTAAGTTTTAGCTTTCGAGAGAGAGCTTAGTTAAAGCCTTCGTTTAAGCGTAAATGCTCCACGGTACGTCCACAGGTGGTACTTTGGTTTCTTTGCTTTTACGGTCACCCTTGGATTACAGGTGCAATTAATAGTAGAGGGAGTGCCTTATTACTTAGATCCCTATTTGTCCAGTTTACGCCTGAATGGAATACCAAATTATTGGCAAAGTAGGCGCACCTGCACCGGAATCCCCTTCAGACAGCGCCACTGTGCCATTGTTGCTCTCATGGAGGAGCTTTCGCTCATTTTGATTTTGGCGGGCATTTAAAACGTCAGCCTCAAAGATTTTAAAATTCTCTCTCAAAGTTGTAAAATGATTTTCCAATAATAAAATCAGGTGCCAGACCTTAAAACTAAACTAAAAAGTAGGTTTTCTGGCTAATATATTGGCCTGCGTGTAAAATTTTGACTTTTTTTATTCAGACTTTGTTTGGAGAGAAAACTTCCGCGAGAGCGGATAGAGTTGCCAGGTTGTTGGTTTCTTCGATATTTCTTTGTTTGTAATCGGTATCTGGCACAATGGTCGGATGCGGGCCGTTCCATAAGCTACCCGCCAAATTGTTTTCAACCTGAACGCAACGTGTGCGGTGCGCGGCCCTCCGACTCGGATTTTATTTCGCGAATTCCACCACAAAAAACCAATCAAGTTCGCCAATAAAAAAATTGTAAACAAATACCAGGAAACCCCGACTAGTAAACGACTAACAGAACAAATTTTAAAATCAGCAATTGTATGATAGTGGAACGGTAGCGGAATTATGAAAGAATTGGGTGAATAAAAGCGACAGAAAGCACTCGGCAAACGAACTGTAAATACGCGTTATCGCCCACATCTACCGCGCTCAACAGGCAACAGCTGATTATCACACCTTCCGTGCGTTTATTTCGCACATTTCAGTTTCCCTAGGTTCGTTTCCCCTACTATTTAATGCACAAAAAAAAATAACAAAAAAAGGGAATCACAAAAAGGATAAAAAAAAACAACTGGAAGAGCAGAGGACCATAAAAAGGCGCACAATAGTAGACTTTGGATTTATGGATTTCTGCGGTGTCCTTGCAAACAAGTGTCGCCTCTGGCAGTAGCAGATTGTTATTGTTGTTTTTTTTGTGATTACCGTTGTTGTCGTTGATGTTATTGTTGCTTTTGTTGTTGTTGGTATGGCAGTCATTATCCCTAATGCCTGTGATGAGAACAGGGATGTGCATCTGTGTGTGTGCGTGTATCCGACCGTGTGTGTGTGTGTTCCTGGGAATCAAGCATTCAGGCTGGGGATTTAAAGGCAATTTAAAGGACTTTCTAAAGAGTGAATGTTTTATTAAACGTGTTGTGTTTTCTAACTAAAGTTGGAACGGAATTTCTTGGCTTTTAATAAATTATAAAGGATATGAGAAACAAAAAGCCCAAGAATGTGAAAAGGGTTTTCAGGAAATTAATAAAAAATCTGTATCAGTCCTGAATATGACTTTGATTTGGTATTTATTTTCTGTATCCCATTTTTCCTGGCCCCAATATATTGGATTTTTATGTCCATATTTTGAAGAGCCCTCAACCTTTCCGATGGTATTTGAAAATTCCTGTAAAGTTGTTATATCGCCAACTCGCATTTCAAGAGCTTGGCAACCAACAATGTTTTGTTTTTGACTTTTATAAAATAAATACACATTCCAAAAGTTGAAAAAAGCCAGCGTGAAAGCGGGATGGCGAGAAGTGCAACCAAATCCATAGCGACTCTTGAGTGGCAGCATCACAAAACAAATATACACCAACACTCGCACAAATAGAAGGCACTTTGGCAACACCTGACCTGCCTCCCGCTTCCTGCCTGCCAGCCTGACTGCCACTGCCTACCCCATTCGATCCACCCCCCCCCCCATCACTCGCTCCTTGCCACACTTGGCTGGCTGTCTAGTAGCTGTCCATCAAGTTTGCCTTAATTTAATTAAGCGCTCAATGTCCTTACTGGCACACAGACTCACACTGACACGCCGACGGCAACATTAATACACAGTGCCAAATTTTATAGAATATAGGACATATTAATGTTTTAATAAACATACAGAAAGTATGATCCTTTTTATCAGTATTATATATATTTAAATACCTTTAAATAGAATAAAGCTCCTTATGAGCCAGTTTATTCTCGGAGTGTTGGAACACAAGGCAACGCTTGATTTGTTGCTGCCTTTTTTCACTCTTGACTGCATCAGACACTCACGCTCACATGCACGCATAGGGCGAGTGAGTGGCCAACACTTACACTCTTACAGGCTCAGACTACAACCGCAAAAGCCACAGGCCATTTTGGCATGAAGGATATTACAAAACACACACAGATATAAGGCATACATATGGACGGTGGACCATGTACCAGGCTGCTATGCCCCGAAGGTGTCTTGTAGGCAAGGTTACTGAGAGATGGCAAATTTTTATTGTAGGATCCTGTGCCTGCACCGACCTCCCCTTAACCCAGTCCACTTCTGAAAGCAACAATAACATGGCGGCCACCTGCTGCGGCTGCACTTAAGTCCATTCTACGGGTTTCTTTCTGTCTGTTTATTAAAATCCTTTTCTCTATCAAAGCACAGTAAAAAATAGTAAAAACTATTAAAATTAAAACCTTAGAAATTTATAAAAAAATGTAATAACTTTCTTAAGATTACAAAGATAATTTTTGTAATTTATTAATCTTTTCTAAGCTTTTACAATTTATTATTTACTGTGCACTCTTGTCTTCCTTTTGTGTGCCGCTCGGGGCCTGACTTTCTGACTTGCTGACTGTCTGCCTTGTAAATTTTTAATCAACTTGTACGTTTACCCTTGTTTTGTTTTCCCAAAACCTTACAGTAGCATGAGCCTTCCCTGTTGTGGGTCTTTTATTTTTCCCTCTTAAATCTTCTTCAAAATAATTGAAAAAACAATACAAGTTAAAAAACAAAAAAAATATTCGATATTATTCATAAAAGTTTGGTTGGTCAGTTGTAGCTTTTCTGTTGCTTCATAAATATTTATTTGATGACCGATTTGCATCGAAATTACGCGACTTATAATTTGTTTTCCTGCCGTCTTATTTGCATTTTTCAAAAATATATTTTTTATTCGATTTGTATAGAATTGTATTGTGGAACTATTCGTATTGTAAGCTTGCAGAATATAGAATACTATATTCCCGGCGGCATGTCTGCGAATTATTTCGCATTTCTGGTTGCTCTTGCTGTCTACATTTCCGCTTTTGGAATGGAGAATTCCACCGTTCTCTTTTATTTTCAATTCTATTCTCATTTTCTCCACCTCTTAGTGGAACTCATGGGGTATGGTAATTTTTGCAAGCGAAAGCCAGCCACAAAGTATCTGGGGGCAACTGGGGGGCCGTTTGGGGGCAGGGGTAGGGTCAGCTAATGAACTCGAGAGCTGTCTATGTATGTATGTGGGTCGGGGTCTGATTATTAACCATCCCTGGTTATTAAGGGTCAATACAAAAAAATTGTATCAAGCTATTATTTTGTATTCTCTAATGATAAAAAAATATAAGGAAATGGTTTGGGTCAAGAAAATAAATTACTATTTTCAAAAAATGTGTATTAAAGCTTTAATTTTTTTTTATATAATTAAATATATATTTAATTTATACTGTTTTTGAATCACGCTGCCATCTCTGATGATGATAAAAAATGCATGAGTAAAAGGTTTGGGGGGCTTCTGCCTCGGCCCAACTGACAGACGTTAATTTGAGCTTGGAAATAGTAATAATGATAATGACGATGATGACGATGTTATTTTTGTGTTGTTTGTTGCCATACAGCCAAGGCATTGACTTTTAGCACGTGCTGTGCGCATATTTATGTAAGCCACTGTTTGTTGTTTTCAGTTTCGTGTATTTTTTCCGCACCCCCACGGCTAATGGGGAGGAAGGCATTGTAAAACTGTCAATTACAATTTGAGCCCTCAAGAGAGGCCGACAAAAATTGACTTAATTCCATTTTCTCGCCGCTACACTTTCAGACCAAACCAAACGCCGCAAAGAGAGGGGCCAACTACTGTGTAAGAGAGTGCTAAATAGTTTCAATTTGCAACAAACGGAGCATAAAGATGAACAGCGATGAGGTACAAATGATCAAAAAGACCTGGGAAATCCCCGTGGCAACACCCACAGACTCCGGAGCGGCGATACTGAAGCTCTTTTTCACCCGCTATCCGTCCACCTTGGATAAGTTCCCCTTCCGCGATGTTCCATTGGAGGAGCTAGCCGTGAGTTTAATATTTGAATTAAATTTTAAAATATTTATAATTCATTTGGGATGTTTTTTTAGGGCAATGCCCGGTTCAGGGCACATGCTGGCAGGATTATTCGAGTCTTTGACGAGTCCATCCAGTTGCTGGGACAGGATGGCGATCAGGAGAAGCTGGACGAGATCTGGACCAAGGTGGCCGTCAGTCACATACCGCGTGCCATTTCCAAGGAGTCTTATAATGTGAGCATTCCATTTTATTTTATTACCGAAATTACTATAAATCCTTTATTATTTCCAGCAACTGAAAGAAGTTATCCTGGAGGTCCTTACCGCCGCCTGCAGTCTGAACGAGAGTCAAGCGGCCACGTGGGCCAAGTTGGTGGACCATGTCTACGGCATTATGTTCAAGGCCATTGACGAGGACGGCAACGCCAAGTAGAGGAGGGCATTTTAGGTGGCACCCGCGGATGCAACTGATGCAACATGCAACACATGCACAGCTTATGTAGTTCTAAGTAATTGATAAATGTTAGCTATTCTCGTTTTGTAATAATGAATGCGAATGTCCAAAAAACAAAGATACACTGGAAACTTTTTTCTGCGTAGAGCTACTCACATATACAAACGCACACACAACACACCGCACACCACACTCCAGACACACACCCGCACTTGCATTGCTCTGTAAAGCTTTAACCCATTGTCAGCCTTAAGCACTTGATAACAAAGGAATAAATGAAATCAGTCAGAAAAAAAACCAATGCTTATGAATAAAATTCAGTGTGGATTCAGAGTGAGTTCATTTTCCGTTTTCATTTAAGCTGCTTTTCGTAATAAATCCTGGTTTTTAAATTGCTCGGCATTTATCAAATTTTCACTTACGCTTTTATGCTGAAAATCCCCACGAAATTATAATTACAATAATTGCTTACTCACACGTAAAGAGGACAACTGAAAAAGCATTTAAGCGCACTCGAAAACCATTTCCGCTCTATGCTTTTCCCCCCATTTCAGCCTTGCCTGTAACTCATGCCAAAAGTTTCCCGTTGGCCAAACAATTGCAATCATCACTCAGCCACTGTTCCGTCAGTTGTTCTGAAAACGCTATTAATTTTCATTTTTAAAACACATAAATGCAGTGGGGAGGTGGGCCCAGAGCTGCAGGCGTTTTAGCCGAAATGCGTGCCCCGGAAAACAATGCGCGGCATTTGGTAGAGGTGGTCATGATGACATTGCGTATACGCCATGGAGCCCGCGAGAGTGCTGGCAAATGAAAAAGCGCTTAGTGAAATGTGTGGAGTGCCAGCAATCATAAAAATAAAGCATTGTTGAAAGTTGAGAAAGGTAGGATATAGGTATAACAATATTAAGGATACTTGTAAGGAAACATTTAAAAGAAAAATCTTTAAAATCCGGCCCTCAAAGAGATTTAAGATTACTAAAGTATGGTTAAGGTAATTAAGGTATCTTGTTAGAAAACCTAGCAGGTAAGTTAATAGAGGGGCGTTTCTTGGAAAAAGTTAAACGACCAATTGTCTCAGTTTCCAGATAACAGAGCCACCGACCCAACAGACCCAACTCTGTTACGTGCGGCACTGTTATCTTATCACCTAACATCGAGCGTTGTTGAGTCTCGGCGTTGGTGAAATGCTCCACAAAAAACGTCTTTGCCGAGCTTTTCAATAGTTTCGGCCAATAATGAAGAACAAAAAATAACAAAGTGAGCAGTTTACCAAAGCGACCGCCAATTTCAGTTCAATTCCGGCATCGCGCGCACCACGCGGCAACGAAACGGGCGTGAAATTCTTTTTTTTTACGGAAAAATATATCAGCCGCCATATACTCGATGATATTTTTGCATTTTCTGCGACGCCTTTGAATAGAAAACATTTTTTTTCCCCCACGGCCGAGTGATTGTGACTTGTGGTCCTGATTTTTATAAACTAATTTCGAAGTTTTGTGATTGCATCAGCAATAAATGTGGATATATAAAAATGATTTAAAGCACTATCGCTAACAGCTAAACATATAAATAAATTCTTGAATTAAAGACGATAAAATATAGTGAAAAGCCCTAAGGCTGATCAGAAATTGTGAACAAAAATCTATGCCGTTCAAAATAATTTTCCGCACAAAAGCAAAGGTGAGCCAAGCCAGATAGTAGGATTTTCTCCTTTGAAGCCTGTCACAGGCATTCCGGGCATTCATCGACAACTCTTTATAAGCTCTTACCCATCCTGCTTGCCTTGTCTGCTGCTCCACTGGATTAAACACGCCCACAGGCAATATATTCCATGCAAATTCACTTTTCGAGTCGGCGTCCCCTTGCGCCTTATGATGATAAAAGCAAATGATTGCAAAACAGCATTTTGCCCCAGGGCAAATATCGCAAAGTTCTTTCCATCTATTTGCTAAATTAAAATAAAATATCTTTGTGGAAATTCCCATCGGGTTCAGGGACTAGACAAAGTAACTTGGCTAAAAGGACGGTGTAGCCAAGGCACCGGATGACATTGTGGCTTTTATCTGGCACACATTTTTCTCATACGCCGCAGTCTGTTATTATTGAATTTGCATAAATCATCTGGATGGATTCTGGTTCTTGTTCTATACTTTGATACCCAATGCTTTAAAAACTTAAAGGGCTTATTTTTTTCAGTTTACAGGCCAACTTTGGTAATCTTAGTTGCTACATAAATGTCAAGGCTTCTGCTTGGGCTTTGTTTTGACCCCAACTTTCAAATTAAATTCTCCGAAAAGGCGTAAACAACAATTATCCAGTTCTCCCTTGCAGTTTTCCCTTCACTGTATTTGTGCCCTTTTAAACTTGACTTTTCTAGCATGTTTAGCATACAATTTGTGGAGTATTTGCCAGCATCCTTGATGTCCTGCTGCGAAGTAGGCAGCACTTAGCAAGCCAAACACTACACTGCGTATACGTAATGCTGCCGTCGGCACGAGCAAATGTATGGGCTTTGGAGTCACACCCAGTTATCGGCTTAACGGCAGGATAATATATGCTTTCATTAATCAATTTGTAAACTAATACCCCAACAAATATGAACAAGTTTTTGGCAAAAAGGCTTGGCTTGTTTTTCTAAGCCTTTTATAGTTGCGCAGTTTATGAAAATGTTTTTCTTGTAGCAAGTTTTGAAATTGTTTTGACGATTTGGTTTAAAGAAAAAAGTTCTTAGAGCATATTAAGTTGGTCAGTGACAAAGCACAGACTATGAATGGCAAGGACATGCTCTGGTTATTTTGCAGACAAGTTCACACTTTGTGGCGCCAGAAAAATAGGGTTCTCTATAGTAGTAAGATACTATTTTTAGTGGCTTTAAGATTTCCCCATGTCGATTCTCTTGAACACGAACAAAATTAATTAAATCCGTTTAAGCCCAGATTTAATTATATCGTCCATTAACCGCCTGCGGGCAGAAACTGTGGAAACAGTTCGCTGGAATTTAACACGCGTGTCATAAATGCCACCGCATGGCCACTCTGTGGCATCCTGCCAGGATGTTTATACAGGGCTCAGTGCCAAGGCCTGGTTGGCCCTGGTCCTGGTGGTTTACAATTTAAACTTTATCGGGCTCGTCTAGACATTAAAACACGTGTCGGTGCCACAGGGTTAAAGGATTAAATAATCAAAATATTTTCATTTCAAATTGCTTGTAGCGGCGGGAAAGATTTATTTATTTTAATTAAATGAAATATTATTAATTCATTGTCACTCATGTTTATTTTTGTCCCATTTCTGGTGAAAATTATGCATGCATTAAAAAATCGTAAATTATATAATTTTAGCGCGGGGAAATCCCTTTGGAATTACCTGATGACAAATGATAATTTAAGTTTCATGCAAATGTCAGAGATCTAAAACCGATTTATATATTTTCAAGCCAACAAGCAAGGCTACAGAGGTATTATTAAAATTTTTTTTGGCGACCCATGACTGGTATATGGATTCGCTCTTGCCTCTCGTGAACAATATCGTGTACAAACTATCTGTTTATTATGGACTTTTCCGTAATCTTATCGAAGAGGACGGGCAGACGGCTGGAAAGCTGCTTGATTGCACATTAAAAATAAACAAATGCCTAAAAATAGACAAGAAGCCGAATCGTAGACGGTTTGTCTTCCGACTTGGCGGCACCGCCGGCAGTTCATTTCCATTCCGATCGGCGGGCGTGTGTTTGCCAAAGGTCATATATTCGATACATTGATATACTGATATTGTACATAAATTTTTCTCAAGTAGCCGGGATTGAAGTGGGACACATAATGAAGTGTTTTCACTCGTCGGGTGAGCTAATATTGATTTATATATTTCTGTTTATTACCATTGAACAATTGGAGATATAAATAGAAATTGCGTTTTGATAAGTGACCGACTGGCAGAGTGAGTAAGGGTGTATAGGGAGTATGATTTTATTGGAACATAAAAAAATATTTATCAATTAGAAAAAAAGGTAGAGGGATTTGTAATAATCTAATCATAAAAATAAAATTATTTTAGTAATTTATATTTTTCCGTAACCATGGAATCTTTTGAAGAAATTCCATGCAAATTATTATTTTTTGTTATTTTTGAACTATCTTGATAGCTTAGTTTCTTTACGTCTAAAATAAAATTAGAAAAACCCGGTAATCAACAACTACAGCACCCATGCAAAAAACTGAAAATCACATTGAATTAGATTTGTTTGCTTTACACGCCGAGTGGCTGATAAAAAAAAGGGAGGCAACAGCATAACTACGAGTTCGACAAATACTCCAGTACAGCCCTGGACAAGCGTCCATGTGTGCCTGAGTGCGGGGCTTAGTACGGTCGATGGGCTTACGACCAGGCTTCGGGCCAAAAACAAAGCCAAAATCTCCGGACATGATTGATTCGGCCGGCGTATTGTGGCTTTCGGTCGCCGCTCGGTGCGATCTTAATCAGTCAGTGCTCGCTAAAAATAAAAATAAACTGACATTCGGCAAGACGACTGGGCCAGTTAACGAAATTGATAAGGCTCCCTGAATGATGTCCAGGCCAATTTGTAAATAAATTTATTTGATTTTTACGTTCGCAGCTCTGGAAATATTTGCTTTTTTTCTATTTCCAGCACCTCTATCAATGCAAATAGTGTGCTTCAGTATGATTGATGTTGGCACTTTTTTGGTTGGGCCACAGTCATTGCGGTTGCCAAATGAAATTAGCCTTCTTCGCCTCGAATCGCCACCGATATCGCGGCATGTTGGCAGGCACATGACCCACACTGAGTTTTGATATCTCCCTGCCATTTGGCATTCCATTTTCTGTTTTGTCACGGTTCCTGTGATGAATTCATATTAATTGCCGACAGCTCCGATTGCCCACAAGTGTTGGATTGCAGTGTTTTTTATGTGTTCGGCAATGCGGCTTCCCCGCTCCATCATCATCATGTTTATAGTATGTAGGTGGGTTGTTAGATCGGGACTTTCCGCACACACTGCGTATACGCAATCTAAAGTTCAGCCTACCCACGACGCTTTATCGGAAACGAGATAAACTGAATTATCTGACTTTTATAGAATTACAAAAATAGTTTACCAATCGGTGGCATGGAAAGTATATCCGGAATCGGTATAGTAATAACCAAATCGATATTGTAAATACTTTTGGTAAAGACTTTAGGTATATTTATAATACATTACCAGCTCTTAAATCTATTATGATATAAAATGGATTTAGCTCCCTTTAGTTATTGCCAAAAACATAATAAATCGAAAGATTTATCTCAAGAAATTGAGAACCCTTAATTTCTTCAAGTCC